GAGAGAGAGAGAAAGAGAGAGAGAGAGAAAGAGAGAGAGAGAGAAAGAGAGAGAGAGAGAGAGAGAGAGAGAGAGAGAAAGAGAGAGAGAAAGAGAGAGAAAGAGAAAGAAAGAGAAAGAGAAAGAAAGAGAAAGAGAAAGAAAGAGAGAGAGAGAGAGAGAGAGAGAGAGAGAGAGAAAGAACAGGGGCATTTATAAGATCTAGCAAGCCAGGCAAGGATTTTGTGTGTGTTGCAGCATCTGTGCCTCAACCTGAGAATCATTTGAAGGTGAAAAGGCCTCGTGAGGAGGTGCATCAGGTGTAGAAGCCTATCCCTCAGACAGGTGGGATCTGTGAAACTCACCCCCTGACACAACTTTAACCAAAGAACAACAAAACACCATCGTCTTAGTGGACCTGTCAGACATTATAGTCATTTCTCTCTCTCTCTCTCTCTCTCTCTCTCTCTCTCTCTCTCTCTCTCTCTCTCTCTCTTTCAGAAAATAGTCAGGAGAAAATATAAAATTAATGAAGAACAGAGAAAAATCAAGAAAAAAAAGGAAATAGAAAAGAAAGACAAGCTCCAGATTGTAGGCTACAAGACACTCCAGCACATACCATAATTTCAGACTGTAAGACGCAGGCAGACTAGGATCTCCATAAGCACAAGATGAAGTAGTGTACAGTTTTAAACATAATCATTGAATCTGGAAGATAACCAGTATTAGAAAAGAACATAAAATCGAAACCATATTCTTCGTTTGATGCTTGGCTACATGGAATAGACTAAAATGGAAAGATGGATTTTCTTGTCAAATACAAAAGAAAAAATGTGTAGCTATTTGTTGGTTCACAGCAGAGATGGGGACTCGTGACTCGGACTTGAGTCGCACTTAAGTCCCTACTATTAGAGATTTAGACTTGACATGGATTCTTGGACCCTAAAAACTTGACTTGGACTTGGACCCTATAAAGACTTGAAACTTGTGGTTTGAGACTCGTGAACATTGCAAGTCTTTTCATTGCCCAGCTCAAAATTCTCACTCCCTCAATACACATCCGCTCCTTTGACAACAAATACATAAAATTTTAAGAGCAAAGACATTTCTCACTGTTCTACTCTCAAATTGAAATTATACTCTCTTGATTAAAGTCTGAATAATTCTTCCATACACTCCGCTCCCCCTCACCTGAGAATTGGAGGGGCCAGCGCCGGCCAATGCTAGTGGTGTGTACCACAGAGCTTCAGCATGGCAGGTGCATTCATTATAAGCTTTGCTTACAGAGACTTTATTGAACGAGATGATGAGAGACTGGCAAAATGCAAAGTGTGTGGAGTCCAAATCCAAATTGTGTTTTTGTGATGACTTGTGCAGCCCTTTTACTTTAAGGATTCTGGTTCATCACATGCTTTTATGCATTTAAAATATTTTTCTGGTATTTTATTGTAAAATCAGCAGCAGACTTGTTGGATTTATGCTTTATCAAAGGCAAGGTATAATTGCAGTATGCTTTAGTAAAGTGCAAAATACAGTTAACAATACTCTAAATGCTTGTTATTTCAACCTTAACCTTATCTGTATTTTTAAAACAGTATTATGTTTTAATAGTATTATTAAAACACAATACTATGTTTTAATATGCTATTAAAATAGTATTATAAAATATAATCTAGTATAGTTAGAATACCTTTGATCAAACTGACAGTTAAGTAATACATGCAACTAGACATGGACTTAAGGTCCAGAGACTTGACTTAACTTGGACTTGCAAAAAAGACTTGTACACATCTCTGGTTCACAGTAACATTTAGTAATAAAATTATCTTATTGATCACCAGGAAGAGATCAAGGAAATGCCATTTTATCAGCATAGTCTGCCAACTGTTGTGCTGCCAGGAGGTAATGATAATGATAGTCTATTCAGATTGTGAATGAAACAAAAAAGAGCTTCCAGTTGGACTGGTAATGCTGATGTTGTTTACAGTGTACAAAAGGGGAGAGGCGTCGTGATTTTTTTTTTTTTGTCCTAGATGAAAGCAGAGCTATGATGTTTTTGCTTGTTTCTTTGTGTGCACGAGTGTTTTTGTCTTTACTGTCACACATCACGGAACAAATGTGAATAAAACTGTTAATCCCTGGGTTGGATTCAACTGAGATCAAGATGGCCACCACAGCAAAACAATCTTAGCAAACACAAAAATGATAGTAACCGATGTTTTACCAATGCTGATATCTGGTGCAAATGTAACTGAGAGTCATTAACAACACAGGCCAATGTGTAATAATGTTGCATGAGTTGTGTGCATAAAGTTATTTTCAAAATTTGACCAAAATAGCTAACTATAACTCCATCATTTCTTCCACATTAAAATTATCTTTGCCTAAATCTCTGGTGGAATATTTGGAAGTAAACATGCATTTCTTCAAGGAATGCTGAGCATTTAATTGCAACTGATTTTCTTTGAAAAAATCAATTTTAGATCTGCATGATAATATATCACTGTTTTAATGTTGTTAAATAAAAAGTGTTGCAATCATTGCTGTCATCTTGTGCCCAACTTTGCCTTAACTAATACACACAGGTGGTCAAGCTAATATTTTTGCCTCCACATTTTGTTTTAACTTTTTTAATTACCCTTTTTTCAAGCATTCTTTCAGAAAAAAATGACTTTGTTCCAAGTTTCTTTAAGCCAAAATAAATACAGAAAAAAAAATTGTGCAGAAACAACTGACTTTATTATAACTTTTTTGCCTTTCCAGAAAAGACTTAATCACAGTTCAGTCAGTGGTGTTTCATTGTACACTGTGTTTTATTGCTTTCATCTGGTACTAATGAAAAGTAGGCGTTGACCTATTTAAGCTTCCTATCAGCCATTTACATTGTCTTATTCTACAGAGCTCTCTCCCCATCACGTGTTCTCTCGCATACATTGTCAGCATTTTAAAGCCTTTCCATTTTTCGTTATTTCTACCCATTCACACAATTATTAAAACTGCATATAACAAATGTATCTTCTGCTGTGCTATAAAAAATATTACACCTATAACACAATTCAGACCATCCATTTATAGTTAATGCAAATAAACCACATTGCAGCCAAGTTCTAATACTTGTAATGTGTTTTTTGTCAACATGCTCTGCAGAAATGAGCATGCACGTCTGATTGGATTAAAGCAAAAATAAGTAATAGAGGAAGTTTTCCCGCATCCAGCATGGATTTTGTTTCTTTGATCTCTTTAAAAATCTTTAA